GCGAATAGAAATCATCCTGTCATTGCATTAGCGATTGCCGTTTGTACGGCGGGTGCAGTCGCCTTATGCAGGGTTATTTGTGTCTTGAGGCCATTACAAAATTCGTATAAGGTCATTTACCTGAACTGCTATATTTCTGCCATTTACCTACACCCTCGGCTTAAGCAGTTTCTATTGTATTTTTGTAAGTGTTCACAAGAAAAGGCGAGATGTGTATTTTGTACTTCCGATTGATCAGAGTCTGGACAAGACAGGAGCCTCGTTTACGTTCTGTTACGTCAGATCTACTTGCTCTCGCATTAGGTCCGCCATGTGTTCGATGTGGTGTTCTATTTGTCATGCTCATCAAAGCTTCAGTACTCAACAGCTTAATCTGTCAAGATTGTTACTGTGTTAGTAAATAGCTTTTAAATAACCATTCAAAATTTTCTTTCAGAATCCTTATTTTCAGTTAAAGAGGCTTTGGTTATTCGTTATTCTATTTTTTTTTTTTGAAAAGAGCAAATCAATATTACGCAAAGATAACCTCATATCAATCATCATTCACTGCGAGAGTATAATACCACATATTAATTTGTAGCCGATATACCGCGCGCTCAGACTGGCTAATTCTGGGGCATTATTCTTCCGTAATGTCCACGGGCCGATTACGGGACTGCAAAAACAAAGCAAAAAGCCATACAATAAACAACTTGTTAACCCCGAACGTTCGGTCTTCACGGGAAAATCTCAAATATTGCAAGCATCAACTAATTTATTGTCAAATCGCGATTCCGGTTATTGACGGTTCTTTAATTATTTCTGGGCTGACAGCAGTAGACAACAACAACAACAACAACAACAACAACAACAACAACACCCAACCAACCGAAAGAAAGAAGGTCGATTGTTAAGGCTTCTCTTTTTAATAAGTATAGGAAACCGTGTGAAGACGAGTGCAACAAAGGATATACACTATGAAAGATATTTGAAAATTCTCTCAAAATTCCACGAGCCTTTTGGGCGGGTGCAATTTGAAAGAAGTTTCAAAAATCACGAGTCGTGTAAATCCTTAACTGCTCGAACTGGGAAAATCAAGAAAGCGCGCACGTTAATTTGCACTGCAGTGCAAATTTTAAAAAATGAACGATAAATTGGCCTGCTCTCAGCCGATCACAATGAAGTAATTTCGTCGGTTATATAATAAAGAACGTAATGACAGCAAAGTCGGAGAGTAGAGTCGTGACTTGCATTATTTTGCGCACTAAAAATTAACCTAGGGTAAAGTTAGGTTAAACTTGTGTTCGAGCCTCGTGCCGTAGTATGAATCGACTAGTAGTATTCCTACCCTGCCCCCCTCCCTCAGACGGGATGCTAGTCTATCGCAGCGCGACTTCCAGCACTAAATTCGCCAAATCCCAGTAGCCTTTCTTTTACGGTTAACACTGCATTACTATAAAATCTAGCATGTATGGGAGGCAATTTCGGTCTATTTTGTAGTTTTAGCCCGAAATTGTCCCGCGTCCACGTTGGATTACACTGTAATGTGAATGAGAAAAACTAAGTGTGAAAAGGGCCTTTGGATAGTTGTATGGGCCTGAACTACAACTGAGTCATGTGGTGTTGATTGAGGTGTAATTCACGTTTTTAGAATTAACTCGACCATTTTCCTTTGGTCCAGGTTGTTCCGCGAATATGAAGCGGTCGAGAAGCGTGGACAGTTTGACTTCTGATTTGTTTGTGCTTTAACTAAATGCAATTTACGATTATGTTATCGTCTAGAATTTACATCTGCATGGCGGTAAGTAATCTATTGTCTCGCATTTTGAAGCTGGTTGTAAGTATCAACTTTACCTTGGACTACTCCTGGCCTCCAAATAAAACCGGAATTCCACTTGAATGTACAGCTGAAACCCAGTGATTTAACAAAGATGCTTTTATTGAGTATATCTTATGGTAGCAATCCTATTCAAAGAGCTTAAGCCAAACGGAAATTAACAGATGGTAACTTATCGTCGTTAGTATTTTATCGTCTAGAATTTACATCGGGATGGCGATAAGTAATCTTTTGTTTCACATTTTGAAGTTGGTCGTAAGTGTTAACTTTAACTGGAACCATTGTTCGTATCTAAACACGGAATTCCACTTGAATGAAAATACAGCTAAAACCCAGCAATTTAACGAAGACGCTCTCGACGAGTAAATCGTATGCTAGCAATCCTGTTCAAAGAACTCAATTCCAACGACAATTTGGAGTAAATTAGTTGATGTACATGACTGCACTATAGTTTACGCACGGAAACATTTCTTCTGAGTCAATACTGAAGCCTTAAGTTTTTGATAATGAAAAGTTTTCTTTTCCTTGCTGAAAATTACGTGGTAAAACCTGACCCCTCGTGTTTACCGTTAACAAATTTGTGAGTATTTGTTAGAAAAGAAAATAAGCTGTTGTTTCACATTTTGTTAACGATTTAAGGCCTGACCACACTAATACATTTTCGTTTGAACACTGTAACGCCCGAAAACTGTGATGAAAACGGAGACTTTCACGCAGGAAGCGGTAGAGCATTCAAGAAGTAGGGAAAAACACTCGACTGCGTCTCGTGTTTTCGCCTACACTTCGTTCGTGTTCTGCCGCTTCCTGCGTGCTTTACAACAGAACAGAGCACAGTCGAGGCTTCTTTATTTGTTAAAATGCTTTATCCGGCCGCTTTAAATCTTGAAATCTCTGCCTGGCTCCACTTGATTGCAACCGGTAAGCTTGTGAAAATTACCAAACGATCACCAGATAGGTTGAAAATACTACTGAGATCAAAATTAACGTGTTTAAAATTTAACGATATCCTCTTTTCTCGTCTTCGGTCTTGCTCTAAATTATGCTTTATACCACAACTCGCGACTTAATTTTTTTGACCTCAAACTTTCAGAAATTTTTAGATTCATTATTACAAGTTTACGTATAAGTTTTATCATTTTCCCCCGTCGTTACGATTTATCCTAGTGTACACGATTTCAGTAAACATTCATTTAATTTTGACATCCACCAAGTTCATCCGCATCTCATTCTTACAAGGTTTATCTGCTGGTATATGCTTCGTACTGTTTTCCTTTTTCTGCGTTTTTCGCATTGCAAGCTAATGCTCCACAAGAGAGATTTTAAACGAGAATTTGAAAAGTCTACGATGATTTTCTCTGAGCAAAGCCGTGCACTCTACTTTACTGACAAGGTTCTTCATATTTCTCTTCCTACTGTATCTCCATAAGTTGCCATTATCGGTTCAATGTCTCATTTCCTTGTAGCACTTCACCTCCTCGGCTAACTCTCCTTTCTCCTTGTTCAGCAGTAGCTACAACTCCAAGTTGTTTTGGTCCAAAAATATTCCTTTCAAGCTTCTCTGCTCGTGCAATAGTTTTCCTTGTCAACAACTGAATGAAAGCTACGCGGAAATATCTTATTCTAACAGCGTAAATCAGTGGATTAAATAACGAGTTCAGTACGGGCAATAAAGTAAGAAAATAAACCATGATATGTTTTGCATCAAAAGCGATGCTGTCTCCAATAAAGGATCTCATAACGAGAATACTGATATTTGCCGGGAAATAACACAGGAAAATTGTGAGCACTACAATAATTGTGCAGTAAAAAGCTTTCTTATTCTTGAGTAACTTCCTCTTCTCTTCTAAGGAAACTTGATTAGCTATAATTTGTTTTTCGTTGCGGCGGACCTCCCTGTATACAGAAACGTTAAAATAAACGACTAATACAAGAGAGATAAACTGCTTAAAGAGGACTACAAATTTTGTGACAATTCGTTTGTTTGCTGGCCAGAAGTCTTCCATTGGAAGGAGGATCGCGACAGCCCACGCCAGACAAGAAGCTACCATGATACGGACTTCAGTAACAAGGCTCTCGTATGCGAAAGAGCGTTTTATAGCGAGAAAACGCTCTGCACTCAACACAACTAAATTATTGAGCGACGCTATGATACACCTTAAGTTAATAGCTACTGTTATCGTGTCTACCCAGCTGCAAATTATGCCAGTCTCATGTTTAAGCATAAAGCTATCGCGAGTGATTTGCAAAGGTTGAACAACAAGTCCGACAACAAGGTCAGTTGTGGCTAAACAGGCGAGTGATACGTTAGATTTGGTTCGAAGTTGACGTTTAGTTTTCACTGCCACCATTACCAAGATGTTTAGCAAAACGACGACAGGACAGGTTATAGCATTGACGGCGATTCTGAACATGAATACAGCGCGAAGCTCGGGAGAAAGTCCCCCGGGAATTTGCAAAGGTAGACCACACCTGACTGATGTGGGGTTGATTGTCGTGTAATCCATGTTTTCTGGACTTTAAAACTCAGACGGTTTCGCTTTCTCGTGTTGTTCCGCGAATAAGAAGGCGTTCGTGTGGACAGTTTGACTTCTGATTTATTTGTGCTGAAACTAAATGCAATTCAGGATTATGTTATCGTCTAGAATTTACATCTGCATGGCGGTAAGTAATCTATTGTCTCACATTTTGAAGCTGGTTGAAGTATTAACTTCACCTTGGACTACTCCTGGCCTCCAAATATAACCGGAATTCCACTTGAATATACAGCTGAAACCCAGCAATTTAACAAAGATGCTTTTATTGAGTATATCTTATGGTAGCAATCCTATTCAAAGAGCTTAAGCCCAACGGAAATTAGGAGTTTTTCTTATGGTCTCGGACGAGAGTTAATTTGTTACCCATAAGTCAAAACTCGGGTTTTGAGAACCATCTCGTTTTCATATTTTGTCTTGTTTAACAGTGACCGGAGTGGGGCTTCCGAGTAGGGGACCTCCGGGATGGGGGTGGGGG